GGAGGGGGGCGCACTTTGCCTCGCCCACCCCTTTCCCTCTTTCCGTAGCCCGGAGCGCGCGCGCGCAGGAGTGGCGCGTCCCGATGACCTGGCCAACCAATGGGGGGCGGGGGCGGGGACAGCGCGTGCCCGCTGAGAGGTAAACACGGCCACGTGACCGCCAGCCCGCCCCGGCGGGGTGAACAGGCCTCGGCGGTTGCTAGAGCCTGGTGTGCGCAGGCTCCGGCCGTGCTGGAGGTGGGGCGCCCCGCAAAGCAAGGCCCGCCCCCGCCCCCCATTCCAGTAGAATGCCGCTCGAAATGGGGCACGGCGTCACGGGATTCAGGGGCGAGCCGGCAAGGGTGGCCTCGATTTACCTATGCGTGAAGGGGGGGCTGCCAAAGTCCCAATCTGTTAGGGTTGTGACTGAGTTCTGTTAAGCCCTGTGAAGCACTTAGTGCAGTGTGGTACATAATAAAAGCAAATAAGCATTAAGTCAATTTCGAAAGCCTAGAGAGCACAAAAACCTGCCAGGGCCCGAATCCTGGACGCTGCTGCTGCTGTCCAAATCCAGCCTTCGAGGAGAAATAAATACCTTCTCTGCCTCTGGCACCGTTATGAACCCTGTGCTGTCTCGGGCAGCCCGTGGCTGGGCTCCGTGACGCTAGAGCTTCAGTTTACAAGAGGCGAGATGGAGGTGCAGAGAGTTTGAGGGCTTTGCCCTGGGTCACACAGTTGTTAAATATATACTGTTCAAAGGCAGCCTGGTCTGGCTCCACAGCCTGAGCACTTCCCACTGAACTGCCCATCAGGCCAACACAAGAAATCCTCCGCCACCTTTGCCAGAGCCCACTGTGTATCAAAGGGACTAGGCCTCCAAGCCCTGGGGTCAGCAGCCCATAGCTCAAATCATTCCAGCTATATGACCCTGGGCAAGGACTCCTATTGAGGGTTTCTGTCTCCCCATCTGTAAAATGGGTTGTCGTGAGTAACTTAAATAGGCTAATGCCTGATCATACTAGGGATTTACTGATGAGCAGCAGCCTGGTTATTGCTGTGCCCACTGACAATATTATTATGAAAGCTCCATGGAGGCAGTCCACTCTAAAAGATGTGGTAGCATTCACTAGTGGGAAAGGAAGCGAGGACAGCAGTCCTGAGCAGACTGCAACAAGAGTGGGATGTCTGACAGTCTCTTCGGGGCTGAGAGTACCTGCAGCCTATGACTTAAGATCCCCTGCCCCTTGACATCAGTCCTTCCCTGTGCCCCCAGCCCTTCCCGTGCCATTTTCTGTACCTTCTCTAACAAGCAAGACAGCTCCTCTGCCCCACCTGCTGGGGAGCAAGGGCAGTCATTTGTCTGCTTTTTGGAGAGAAAATAGACGAAGTATATAAAGGCTTAACAGGGGCCTACCACAGAACAAGTATCCTGTTGTTTCCGTTGTTAATATAAGCCTCCCTGGCCAGGTGAGGAGGGGCTGTGGAGCAGGAGAATCTGAATCCCCTCCCCACTGAGGCTGGCACTGCCCTAGCTAAGGCTCCCAGGCCTGCAGATTGCAGCCTGCCCAACTATCCACTCCCCACCTGCTTTCTCAGCCTCTATGCCAAGCCAGATCCCTGCCGACGGGAAGACTGAAGACCAAAAGGGTTACAAAGGAGCCCTGGATCTCCTGCTTCTCCCTCTGACTGAAGCTTTGTTTCCTCTCAAGTGAAGTGGGTGACATAGTGGATGGCATGAAGTGGGGACCATGCTGCATGGGGTTGGCAGTTATATTCTTATAATGATCTCCTCTCTGGGCCTCAGTCTCCCCATCTGAGGACTGATCTAAATGACTTCTAGGCAACTTTGGGCTCCTGTGAGGAATGGAACCCTCCAAGTCCCCCTCCTAGCTGGGGTGGGGCAGGGAACTGAGAAGCTGAGCTGTCTAAATTTATTGACAGCAAACATTTACTAAACGCTTGGCTGGCTGAGAATGCACCAAGTACTTTCTAGCCATCATCTGATTCTTGCAACAACCTGTGATGGAGGCTTTACTATTCTAGTTTAGAGAGAGGGAAGCAAAGGTCCCACTATGTTGGGGACCTGCCCAAGGGCTTGCAACTGGACAGGAACCCAGGACTGAAGTGTTGGGGAGCCACAGGTGCACCTGGTCATCTGGTCAAACAGGACTCCCAGAACCCCCTTAGGGGGTCATAAATGGTAGTCATGAGGGCCCATCTGGTGGTCTCATCATGTTAAGAAACAGGTGGGTCCCAGGGCTGGGGCTCAGGCCTGCAGAAACATGGGGGGGGGGGGCTGCTTTTGGGGAGCTAAGTTTTATCTGCTGATGGAAGCTCTGACTGGCAGACATATTCATTTAGGATTAATAAAAGTGGGAGAAGAAACTTCTGATAAGTGCCTCTGTTTAGAAAAGGTAATCTTTCAAAAGATTGAGTCTAGGAGGAAAAATAGCTGACAGTGCCTTGAAGGCCAAGGGACTGGGACCACACTCCCATGCAATGCCTTCTAGTGCAGGAGCTAGGGGGAGGCAGTGCTCAGGAAGCCAGTGCTCCTGCTGCCTGCCCTGGCATCTATCTTCCTTTTCTAGCTCTCCTGAACTCTTACTGCCCCTGTATCCAGGCTGGAAGTCCACATCTCATCTGCCCAGTGGAGAAAGGGACACTCCTTCAGTCCTGGGGTATTTGGGAAGAGGCCCCAGGGGCAGGAGGAATGGAAAAGTGCATTATCTGGTTGGCCAGCCACCAACTCCAATCACCAGGATGCCCCACAAGATGAAGAAGCCTGTGACTGGGGCAGGACCTGGGCTATTAAACCCATTTTGCAGATATGGAAGCTGAGGCAGCATGGGCCATCTTCCTCTCTGCTGTCTCTCCCCACCATGCTCCTGAGACACTCCCAGGACCCAATACCAGGTCAGCTCCCCACCCTTCCCCTTCTACCCCAGCACAGCAGAAAGCACCTGGCACAGACAGTAGAGGCTCTGGGTAGAGGGGGATTCCAGGAGTCAGTTTCTACAAGACAGGACAGGGAGGTGGGGCACCCACACACCAATGGGGAGGCCCCACGACTTGCTCATTCCCCACCCCCGTCAACTCCCTGCTGGGAGGTGATTGGTTGGTGTGAAGGTTCCTGATTGGGCCTCAGCAGGAGAGGTGGAGAGACTCCAGAGGTCCTAGACTAGCTCCCTGCCCCCAATTCTGAGATGGAGGAGGCACAGAAGAGATACCTGAAAATGGGGAGGCCTAGTTCAACTCTGACCCCACTTGCTGTGTGATCTAAGGCAAACTGCTTACCTTCTCTGTTTCCTCATCTTTAGAGATTACTATCCCACCTGCCTCACAAGGCTGTATGGGAACCTGCTTTGTAGACTGGAGAGTGCTGTCCAAAGGCAAGGTGGGCTCAGACTCTGTCTCTAGTTCTATGGCATTGAGGATTCATGTCCTGCTGGCTAGCCTTGTCTTACCCAGTCTCACAAACCCCTGCCCAGCACTGTACTTGCTGTGGCTTGGGGGAGCCTCCACCTGGCAGGCAGGCATCTCTGAACCCAAGATGCTGGGCCTTCACCTCCCAGGTGCCAGGAAAACCCAGAAGGTGGGGGAGGGGTGCAGCCAACTAGAAGTGGAACTTAACCAAAGCGGAGCAGGTGAGAAGGGAAGGGGAAGATGGGGCCCACCTTGACCCTCATGTGCTCTAAGCCCCTCAGCTGGCAGAGGGGCAACTGAAAGCTGGAGAAGATGATTTCATCAAGACCCACAGGCCAAATACCAGAGCAGCTAGAGCTAAAAGCTAGGTAGGAGAGAGGGCGAAAGGTAGATGGAGGGATGTACAGGCAGGCAGACACACACAAAGGACCTTACTTTGGGGGCCATCCTTTCCACTTCACCAGATATTCGACTTTACCCTGGGAAGAAAGAGAAGCAGACACAATGAGATACACAGCTGCCCAGATGACCACTCACAGGACAGTAAGGCCTAATTGCCCCCTGCAGACAGACATCCCCCACACAGACCAGATCCCCACCAACCCAGAGACCCCCCCAAACTCTGGCTGCTGCATGACCACCCTGGACTGCCCTCCCTACTAGAGCACATAAGTGCATCTGGTCCCAAACACCTCTGGGGCTCCTGGGGCAGAAGCTTGGAGCTCATGTTATACATAGGGAAACTGGGACCACATGGGGGCGTGCATCACCAAAGATCCAGTGTCTAGAATCTGAGTGTTAAGATCATAACTCTTAGATCAGAAAACGCTCCAAATTGTAGAAAATTCCTCAGCTCTAATCCCACCAGCCCCCTTCCTAGGGGAGGCTGCCTCTGACCCAGAGGTGCCAGGCCTCTCAACTCAAAAGACCCTGGCAGGACCCCAGAGAAGGCTGACAAAATCTCCACCTACAGAAATGGTGGTCACCCCTCCAGTAGTTAGAAAATAACTACTTTGACAGGGGCCTTTAAAAGTTTCCAGTCCAACCCCATTGGGTGAAATCCCTCCGCACTCGAACTTTGAGACCAAGATGTCACCTCTTTAAAGAGGCCTGTCCGGGCCACCCTTTCTACAGCCATCCCTCCCACCTCAGTTATCTTTTTGTGTAGCACACAGCCCCACGGGAAGGCATGTTTTTATTTCCTCGTTCATTGTGTCTTCTCTGCCAGAATGCCAGTTCTGTGAGGGAAGGGGTGTATCCCTCCCTGGGGCTTACAATGGTGCCTGGTACAAAACAGATCCCCAATAAATTTATTTTGAATGAATGGCTGAAAGAATGATGCTTCTCACTCTTTGGAACTGCCCCTTAGGCCCAGTGTAGAAGAGGGGAATCACTGTACCTGTTTGAGCTACACTCACTGGGCTCTGTGCAATCAATTAAAATCAAGGAAACTGGAGGATGGGAGGAGGGGCAACCCCAACCTGAAGACAGTGTTCAACTCCATCAGAGATGGGGCAAGAAAAGAAGCTCATGGCCCACCTTGACCTTGAGCCTTGGCCCAAGATGCCAGGACTGAGCTTTCTCTCTCAAAAGATGAGCTGGTGATCAGACAACTTGGGCTCCTTGCTCAACTTCCATCTCTAACTTGTCCGGTGACTCTGATCAGTTCACTTCTCCCGCCTGGGCCTCAGTTACAGACTCAGACAAAAGGGAGACAATGACCTCTAAGACCCCTCCCAACCCTGCCGATGGAGCCTCCCAAGGGGCTGCAGAAAGGAGACAGGGAAAAGGATGGTGGTGAGTGCCAGGAAAGGAACTTTCCCCAGGACTTCCAACCCCAACCTCCCATCTGAGGCGAGCCCACTCTGCAAACGTGCACAGGAAGTGTGGTCCGCCTAAGTCCAGCAGGCAGGGTCGGGGACCCGAACCCAGCAGGACCTCCTTAATTGCAGGGTGTAGGTTTTGGAGGCAAAGGGGGAGGAGCTTCGAGGAAGCCAGAGCGCTGTAGGCGGCTTCACCGAGGCCTGCCGGGCGGGGCTGAAAGTTGGGGTGGGGAAAACAGAGGGGTGTGCGCTGGGAGAGAATGAGAAAGATGGAGGTAGGGGTGTAGAGAGAATCGGAAAAGGTCCAAGTCCAGCAGTTAGACTTCAGTGGCTGGGGGCTGTTCCGACGCCCCACCTCCAACTTCAAAGGTCTTGGTACCAAGAGTCCAGAGTCCTGTGTTCGAGACCCAGTTCCGACGCTAACGCACTAGGCAGGCCGGTTCCTCAACTTGGGCCTCAGTCTCCCCACATTTATAAGCGGGGGAGGGTGAGGAAGGATGGCGTTCAGGATCCCTACAGTCCGATCCTACTCTCCAGTTCTGGCGGGCTCGCTGCCCCCAGCATCCCAGGGCGACAACTTTTATTCTACTCGCCCTACAAGGTGGCGGGGGAAACTGAGGCACGGGCTGGGGAGACAAGCCCAGCAGCGTGTGGCTGCCTGAGCCCCCGCCCCACATTTCCCCACGCCCCCAGTGTGGAGCGGCCGGTGTTGGGCACACGAGGGGACCTCCGAGGGGTCCTGGGAGCCGCCCCCGGCAGCCTCACCTTCCGCACGCGCTTCTTCCGGATGCTCTCCACAGCGAACACCTGCTCGCCGATGGCTGACAGCTCCATGCGGGGCAGCGGACGAGCGGGCCCAGGG